TTGCATTTGTCCTTATTGAATGGCATTCTGTTTATTTCAGGCCATTTCTCCAGTTTGTCAAGATCATTTTGATTTCAAATCCTGTCCTCCAAAGCACTTGCAACCCCTCCCAGACTGGTGCAATCCACAAACGTTATAAGTGTGCTCTCTATGCCATTATCTAAATAATTGATGAAGACATTGAATAGAACTGGACCCAGGACAGAGCCCTGTGGGACCCCACTCAATATGATGCTCTTCCAGGGTGACTGTGAACTACTGATAACTACTCTCTGAATACGGTTTCCCAACCAGTTGGGCACCCACAATATAGAAGCTTTATTGACGCTCTATTCCCCTAGTTTATGAGAAGATCATGTGAGAGAATATCTAAAGCCTCACTATAGTCAAGATATATCATGTCCATTGCTTCCCCTCATGCACAAGGTTTGTTAACCTGGCTAAAAGGCTATTAGGTTGGTTTGGGTTGAGGATCTCATGTACATAAAGATCACTGCTCTGTGAAATATATTGTCCACCATCTGATGAGTCACACAAGTAGAAAATTCCAGTTTTTTGCCACTTGTGGAAGGGATCTGAATGAAAGTAAACATTATAAAGATGTAAGATGTATTCAGTGTTGTTGTAGCCTTGTTGGTCCCAGGATATCAGAGAGACATGGTGGGTAAGGAAATATTTTTGGACTAACTTTTATGGGACCTGAGGAAGAGCTTTTGTATAGCTCGAAAGCTTGTCTTGCTCACTAACAGAAGTTGGTCCAATTAAAGATATTACTTCACCCGCCTGGTCTCTCTAACAATGTAAGATGTCAATGTGAATGAGTTGCCCTGAAGAATGATGGTTACTCTAAAATTCATGAACTCTATTCTGGAGGTGTCAGACTAGGCCACTTTTAGAATGGGTCCAACACCACAACTGAAATGCTCGGTACTGTTATCCCCAGTTGCTGTAAACCAACGTAGCCCCTTTTCTGATCTACACCCGCTGAAAACCTGGCTCAGAGGTTTACAGTAGGAAAGACTCTCTCAGTGCTTCTGGGGACATTCCACATAGACCAATCCATGCACACTTTTTCCTCACTATAAAAGGGTCAAGTGTATTTCTCTCAGCCCTTCTAAACCCTTTATAGTTACCTGACAAGCAGATTGCAAAGTCTGTGGGTGAGCTTCATGTTTAAAAATCCAGCTGCTTTCCTCACTGGCAAGCCATTTAGATAGAGTATAAGGCTCACACCTATACCACCCCCACAGCCACTCAGCACTCACACAATACCCCAACCACCAAAATGAGACCGGAGTATTACAGCCCACAGGAGACTAGGCTATTATGTGCCATTGAAAGACTCCTGTTGATTTCAATGAGGCTTGACTCAAGCCCTTCATTGCTATTAGTTGCAGTCCAGTAGCACCTCAAGGACCGTACTGAGATCACAGTGCCTTTATACTGGCCACTGTATACACACACAGAGTAAATTACCATATGCTCATTTGAAAATCCCAATTTAAGGGACATCTCTAAATCCATGATGGAGCTAGAAATTTAAACCATTTCTTCTGTATCACATCCTACCAGATGACCCTTCCTTCCAATTCTTCCCAATAGAGCTGGATCTAAAAATCTTCTGAAATCAATGGTGAGACCATCATGGACTTCAGTGGACTCAGATCCTTATGTGGAGATTTTCAAAAGCATAAAGGGCATTGCAGTGACCAATTCCCATTATAAGTCAATGGGAGTTGCATGCCCAACTCCTGTCCTGGCCTTTGAAAATCTCTCCTTTGTCATGGCCTTGTCTTCACTGTGAAAATAAGTGTTTTCTCCTAATGGGAAGGATAACTTGGTGTAAGATCCTAGTGGAGACAGGGCACAGGTAGTTTAGCCTTGATGTAGCTCATCAAAGTCAATCCCTCCCTTCCACCTGCTTTTTACCTTAACTAATAATAATGAGATTAAAAACTACATTTACCTTGTCTCCATTGGAACTATGAATGTCAATGTGAAAACACACCTTGTTTGCGGTGAAGGTCAACAGTCTGTGGGAAAACCAGGAAATGATCTAATTTCTTTACCCTCCCAGGAACCATAGACATTCTGACCTAGTCTTTCTCTTGCTCATAGCTTTCCTCAAGGCTGTTTTCACCTCTTTGTTCCTTATGGGATATATGAAGGGGTTCAGCAAGGGGGTTAGGACAGTGTTGAGGACAGACACGGCCTTGTTGAGACTGAGGGAGGAGTGGGCCATGGGCTTCAAATACATTAAGATAACGGCTCTGTACAGTAAGGAGACCACAGTGAGATGGGACGTGCAGGTGGAAAACGCCTTCTGGTGTGCACTGGTGGAGTGGATGTGGAGTATGGTAGTGATGATGTAGGTGTATGACACCACACTGCAGAGGAGGCTGGTTGGTATGATGGTGATGGACCCCGGGTAGCCAAGGAACTCAATGACACTTGTATCTGCACAGGCCAGTTTCAAGAAGGGCCCAATGTCACAGTAAAAATGGTCGACGATGTTCTCGGTACAGAATGGCAACTGCAGGAGCAAAGCAGCCTAGGAGAAGATAACCAAGAAACTCAATGCCCAGGCTCCCAGGGCCAAAAGAAAGCAGACTTTCTTGGTCATGATGGTGCTGTAGTGCAGGGGTTTGCATACAGTGATATAGCGGTCAAAGGACATGGCTAATAGAATCAGGAACTCAGTGAGGCCAGGAAAAAGTGGAAGAATGACTGCACCAGGCAGCAATAAACACAGATGGTCATTCTGTCCACCAGGAACATCTCCAACATTTGGGTACAATGGCAGTGGTGTACCAGATCTCCAGGAAGGAAATTTTGCTCAGGAAGAAAGACATCGGGGCCTGGAGATGCTGGTCAGCCCTCATGATTACAATGATGAGGCTTCCCTGCTAGAATGAGAAGGTATATGAAGAAGATGATGACAAATAAGACCATATGCCGCCTCTGAAGACTTGGGAAGCCCAGCAGGACGAACTCTTTTACGGGTGACCCATTCTCCACACCTATGTTTATAAGAATTAAGAAAAATAGGTTGATTACTTGTCTCGCTTAAGAGACCCGCAGCTGATACACAGGTTTCATAGCCTGGGCTCCAGCCTGAGACTGACCATCTACACAGCAATTTTAGAGCCCTGCAGGATAGCCCCAGGAGCCAGAGTCAGCTGACCCAGGTCTGAGACTCAGTGCTATGGGTCTTTTATCTCAATGTAGACATACAGATGGATGGGTTAGAATTAGATAGAGATCACATAGAGCAATGGCCATAAAGAATACAGAAAAAAAACCAATATCTATCTGTCTGAATGGAGGGATAAATTCACTGGATAACATAGCCACAAAAGCTCCAGTTAGACTTAACTAAAAATTAAGAATATTTTACACTATATTTTTTCTGGAGTTTGTATAGGATGATCCTGAATTCCTTTCTGGTTAAAAGTATAATAATATTTTTCATTTAACTTCATCTCTTCTGATGTTTGTCTTTTCCTATACCAACACGTCCAGGAACAATATTGATCAGGAAAAATATTCGGTCATATGGTATACATTTGAAAAATATAGTTATCATTTTGATGCTATCACAGTGAGGACCACAAAAGGAGGGATAGATAGATAGATAATCATGTTGCTACAATATCACTAAAGCTTTGACTTACCTCCTCCAATGGTCAGTGACTGATTCATAAGGTGAAGCTGGTATCTCCACATTTTTGCAGCAAATGGGGAAAACACCACAAGATCTGAATCTGATCTATCCACCTTCTTTTATGTCCCATCACTGCTTTATATAAACTATTTTCTTCTAAGGAAGTAGGAATATTATAGTAGGAATTTCAACCCAGTAACACTGGTACTTGGGTGTTCATTGGCAGTGCCGTCACAAGTGCAGTGGATATTATTTTCTTTAACCACAAATCAACAGAAGTAAGTTTGAAAGGGATCAAAATACAGCGGAGCATTTTCTAAATTAAATAGTTCTAATTTCTGTGTTGTGTTGCTAGAAGTTTACAAGGTGTGTTTCTTAATGAAATCCACTCCATTTGCACTCTGAGCCCTGTCATTCTTTATTCTTCTTTTCAAATCGTATTAAGTGCAAGAAAATTTTATGGAAAGATATTGCATGTCGCCATCATTTCTTTCTCAAAATTAGCAGATAGAGAAGATCCTGAAACAAATCCAATCTCTCTAATCTGAGTAAGTGATGTGTTTCATAGATCTGAAACTAGTTGGAGTAGAAGTTAAGACTTGCTTATTATATCCTATTTTAGGGCCTGATCCAAAGTCAATTGAAGTCAACAAAAAGACTCCCATAGATTTCAGAAAGCATTGGATCAAGCCCCACATAATTATTCCCTCACTAGAAATAATTATTGTCTGATGATTTTAAGTTTATGCAGGATTCAATCCCTAGAGTTCCCAAAGCATTACCCTTGGGAAGTACTTCAATAACATTTTAATTGTTAGTCATTCATAAGCAATTAAGTCCACCATTCTCTCGTTGTTTAGAAGTATGTTATGTTCTTATGGTCAGAAGTACATTGATCTTGTTCTGGCCCTCTACATCTGGGAGAATTTCACTCCTACTGTTAACTCTGCTGAACACAAAAGTTATTGCAAACTCCTGTTCACCCTTTAAGGTCTAACCCAAAGCTCTCTGAAGTCAATGAAGAGACTCAGTGTTCAAAACAATTTGTGTATCACCTAAAAGCCCCAGCTAGGTAAGAATCCCATTGTGCTAGTCAAGGAACAAATATTTTTCTCAGTATCTTCACACTTTTATATCCCCTGCTGCTGTATGCGTTGAGTGCTTATGCAAAGTCAGTGCGGGAGCTTCCTCTTTAAAAGTCAATGTCTTTTCTTCTCTGGATTGGTCACATCCAAAAAGCACAGCAGTCACCTGCTTTTACAACGGAGAATACTAGTGCTCTGTTTTCTTGCGGAGAGTAACAAATATGAGGGGTTTTTTTATTTATCTTTGCTTGATGTCCACTTTCCAAGGTAAGGGGAGCATGTAGAGGATGGGAAGGTGGCTGAGGGTTACCAGGATGATGGGGATGAGTCCAGATATGTCAATATTCATTGTACCTTCCCTCTAGGTGGCCAGTCACAGGTTCAGCTGGTCCAGTCTGGGGCAGAAATTAAGAAGCCCGGAGATTCTCTCAAGATATCGTGTAAAACTTCAGGGTTCACGCTCACTAGCTATTACATGAGCTGGCTCCAGCAGACTCCTGGGAAAGGACTGGCGTGGGTTGGAAGAATTGACCCTGAAGATGGTGCTACCATCTACTCCCAGTCCTTTAAAGACAGATTCTCCATCACCACCGATAACTCCATCAGCACCATGTACCTGCAACTCCGCAGCCTGAGAGCAGAAGACACGGCTGTGTATTACTGTGCTAGACACACAGTGAGAGGCAACCCAGACATCACCATGCAAAAACTGAGTGTGAGAGTAGCATTGAATCAGAGGCCTTAGTTGAAATGCTACTGAAAATGAAAAGGTCATTTCAAGCAAAAGCACTAGGGGTCAGTGCAGGATTATCACATATACACCTGTCTGTCCTATTCCACTCTGGTAATCTCTATTCTATTCCTTTCCATTACTGATCCATTCAGGACTTTGTCCCCTCATTTTTAAATATCTCCAGTTATGGGGATATCCACCACTCCTCTTGGGAGAGTATGTAACCCTACAAAACATCTCAATAGTAACCTGAAGACTTTTTTTTTAATTGAAGTGAGCAAGAAGAAATTCAGATATGTGGAGAGAACATAATAGACTAAAGCCATATGATGTGAAAGGCTGCCACAAACTTCCTTCCTAAGAAGAAAATCTTTAATAAGAATCCCTAACTCGTAAACAGCACTTTTCAGCTGTAGATCTCAAATCACTAAACAATGTGTAATATATTTAACCTCTCTGCCCTCCTGTGAGGTGGAGAAGTGTTGCCATCCCCCTTTTACAGGCAGAGAAGCTAAGTGACATGCCCAAAGTCACACATGAAGTCTGTGGGGGAACAGAGAATTGTACCTCTGCCTCCCAAGACCTAGACTAGCACCTGGCCCTAACCACTGGATGATCCTTCCTTTAGGTTGTGTTTTATTACAACCTGTGTGTCCTTAAACAAATAGCTAACAGTGTAGTTCAAGAACGGATCTGCATTTCAATATTTTAAAATGTTCACAATGCCTCAGATTTCCCACTTTTCATCAACAGAACATGCATGGAAGGCCTGAAGGAGACACAATGTGCAGAACTGTTGGGAGCGGGTTCTGACACTCCTACTCTGATTGAGCAATACCTCATTCCACGGGTGGGTCTGCGAAAGAGAACAGAACTGCTACTGCAGTACAGGTTTCAGAGTAGCAGCCGTGTTAGTCTGTATTCACAAAGAGAAAAGGAGGACTTGTGGCACCTTAGAGACTGACCCATTTATTTGAGCATAAGCTTTCGTCTGATGAAGTGAGCTGTAGCTCACGAATGCTTATGCTCAAATAAATGGGTTAGTCTCTAAGGTGCCACAAGTCCTCCTTTTCCTAGTGCAGTAGAGTGATACTAAACCTGGGATTTTCAAGGAATACCCACTTCAGGTCAATGGACATTGGACGCTGAAGTGAAACAAACAAAGATCATAATCTATCCCTTGGTTTGTCAAGTGTCATCCTTAAAATACTGGTTTCAGAGTAACAGCCGTGTTAGTCTGTATTCGCAAAAAGAAAAGGACTCTGTTCTTTTCCAAGTGCAACAAAGATAAGAATTTCATAGCAGCCTAGGGTATGGGGCTGACCAATTCCCACTCATTGTAATTGGAGTTGGGTGTTCAACTATATTAGGCAGTTTTGACATCTCAGCTAAAAACCACAAATGTAGTAAGATATGAGAAAAAACAACAATGAAACATAAACCCAATAGCCCTAAAACTGCATTAGCAGAGAGACCAAATATTTCAATACCACTTCATCAAAACTCACATTCATGCTTCAAAGGTCAGAATCTTCCACACTTTTACTGACTAAGTAGTACTTTATACTGCAAATATTCCCATTGAGGTGAAAAGCTATATTGTAGTGCTTAGCACAAGAAAGCACTTCCACCAGTGAATGGTGCTGCAACTCAATTTGTGTGTTAAGCTGTTGCCTTGTATGTGGTTATGTTGTCATATTTGAGGTTGCGGTGGGGGTCGTGTGTGAGCAGGAAGTTCAGTCCTGCCTATGTGTGCTGGAGTTGGCAATTACATCGTTCCAATAAATCCTTGTGGTTCTGTAAGGGAACGTTACAATGTACCGCCCAATGTGAGGAATGGTTGGCCCATCGGGGCCCATATACCTCTAAATGGCTGATTCTGCCACCATTGCTATGAATGTTATTGAGACCCCCAGCTACAAGATTGTGCCCACTTCTGGGGTCTGCAGCTCAACGAGTACGTTGAAAAAATGGAAAAGGTTCAGAAAAGAGCCACAAGAATGATTTGGTGTCTGGAAAATGTGCCTTGTATTAAGAGACTGAAGCAGCTCAAGGGATTTAGTTTATCCAGGAAAAGGTTAAGAGGTGAATTCATCATGGGCTACAACTGCCAACATGGGGAAGCTATTTCTGGGGTCGATAATCTAATAGAAAAAGGCCTAATGAGTGCCAGCGAGTGGCAGGTGAAGCTAGACAAATTCAGGTTAGAATTAGGGTACAAAGTTGTAACAGTGAGAGTACTTACCCCTTGGAACCACCTACAATGGCCTGGGGTAGATTCGCCATCGCTTGAAGTCAGAACTAGATGTTTTCTAAATGACTCGGCCCTAAACCAAAAAGAAGTTATGGGCTTCCTGCTGAGATTACTGGGTGAGGTTCTTTGGCCTGGGTTATAGAGGAGGTCACAAGATGATCACTTCTAGCCTTATAATCCATGATTCTGTGAAGTGTATCTTATGCCGTAACTTGTCCTATTGTGCTGGATTGTTACTTAACCCAGTGGTTCTCAAAGCTGGTCTGCAGCTTGTTCAGGGAATGCATGTCCCTTGGCCCACGCCACTTCCCGCAGCCTCCATTGGCCTGGAGCGGCGAACCGCGGCCAGTGGGAGCCGCAATCGGCCAAACCTGTGGACGCGGCAAGTAAACAAACCACCAGGGGCTTTCCCTGAACAAGTGGCAGACCGGCTTTGAGAACCACTGATTTAACCCACTCCCCCAGGCATGTCACTCAGTAAGAGGGAGTGAGAACTCACTTACGACTCCATTTGTGCTTCCAAGACCTTGCATCCAAGAATCTTAATTTCATACCCCTTGAACTCAATTTGAGCCAGCTCAGGTTGGGGAGGAAATGATTTACTGCTATAATATTGTCTGTGAGGGAAGGGCTCCTGCCTCATACTGTGAATAAGGGGCGATCAACAGGTTATCTCAAGTGCTTATATACAAATGCACAAAGCCTTGGAAACAAGCAGGGAGAACTGGAGGTCCTGGTGATGTCAAGGAACTATGACGTGATTGGAATAACAGAGACTTGGTGGGATAACTCACATGACTGGAGTACTGTCATGGATGGTTATAAACTGTTCAGGAAGGACAGGCAGGGCAGAAAAGGTGGGGGAGTAGCACTGTATGTAAGGGAGCAGTATGACTGCTCAGAGCTCCGGTACGAAACTGCAGAAAAACCTGAGTGTCTCTGGATTAAGTTTAGAAGTGTGTGCAACAAGAGTGATGTAGTGGTGGGAGTCTGCTATAGACCACCGGACCAGGGGGATGAGGTAGATGAGGCTTTCTTCCGGCAGCTCACGGAAGCTACTGGATCGCATGCCCTGATTCTCATGGGTGACTTTAATTTTCCTGATATCTGCTGGGAGAGCAATACAGCAGTGCATAGACAATCCAGGAAGTTTTTGGAAAGCGTAGGGGACAATTTCCTGGCGCAAGTGCTCGAGGAGCCAACTAGGGGGGGCGCTTTTCTTGACCTGCTGCTCACAAACCGGGTAGAATTAGTGGGGGAAGCAAAAGTGGATGGGAATCTGGGGGGCAGTGACCATGAGTTGGTTGAGTTCAGGATCCTGACACAGGGAAGAAAGGTAAGCAGCACGATACGAACCCTGGACTTCAGGAAAGCAGACTTCGACTCCCTCAGGGAACGGATGGCCAGGATCCCCTGGGGGACTAACTTGAAGGGGAAAGGAGTCCAGGAGAGCTGGCTGTATTTCAAGGAATCCCTGTTGAGGTTACAGGGACAAACCATCCCGATGAGTCGAAAGAATAGTAAATATGGCAGGCGACCAGCTTGGCTTAATGGTGAAATCTTAGCGGATCTTAAACATAAAAAAAGAAGCTTACAAGAAGTGGAAGGTTGGACATATGACCAGGGAAGAGTATAAAAATATTGCTAGGGCATGTAGGAATGTTATCAGGAGGGCCAAATCGCACCTGGAGCTGCAGCTAGCCAGAGATGTCAAGAGTAACAAGAAGGGTTTCTTCAGGTATGTTGGCAACAAGAAGAAAGCCAAGGAATGTGTGGGCCCCTTACTGAATGAGGGAGGCAAACTAGTGACAGAGGATGTGGAAAAAGCTAATGTACTCAATGCTTTTTTTGCCTCTGTTTTCACTAACAAGGTCAGCTCCCAGACTGCTACGCTGGGCATCACAAAATGGGGAAGAGATGGCCAGCCCTCTGTGGAGATAGAGGTGGTTAGGGACTTTTTAGAAAAGCTGGACGTGCACAAGTCCATGGGGCCGGACGAGTTGCATCCGAGAGTGCTGAAGGAACGGGCGGCTGTGATTGCAGAGCCATTGGCCATTATCTTTGAAAACTCGTGGCGAACCGGTGAAGTCCCGGATGACTGGAAAAAGGCTAATGTAGTGCCAATCTTTAAAAAAGGGAAGAAGGAGGATCCTGGGAACTACAGGCCAGTCAGCCTCACTTCAGTCCCTGGAAAAATCATGGAGCAGGTCCTCAAAGAATCAATCCTGAAGCACTTGCATGAGAGGAAAGTGATCAGGAACAGCCAGCATGGATTCACCAAGGGAAGGTCATGCCTGACTAATCTAATCGCCTTCTATGATGAGATTACTGGTTCTGTGGATGAAGGGAAAGCAGTGGATGTATTGTTTCTTGACTTTAGCAAAGCTTTTGACACGGTCTCCCACAGTATTCTTGTCAGCAAGTTAAGGAAGTATGGGCTGGATGAATGCACTACAAGGTGGGTAGAAAGCTGGCTAGATTGTCGGGCTCAACGGGTAGTGATCAATGGCTCCATGTCTAGTTGGCAGCCGGTATCAAGTGGTGTGCCCCAAGGGTCGGTCCTGGGGCCGGTTTTGTTCAATATCTTCATAAATGATCTGGAGGATGGTGTGGATTGCACTCTCAGCAAATTTGCGGATGATACTAAACTGGGAGGAGTGGTAGATACGCTGGAGGGGAGGGATAGGATACAGAGGGACCTAGACAAATTGGAGGATTGGGCCAAAAGAAATCTGATGAGGTTCAATAAGGATAAGTG